ATTCGGTTCGCTGCGGATCAAGGGGCGTGCCAAGCAGTGTGAGTGTGCCACGGCGCCGAACCCGTTCTCTGCCAGTTGTTGAAGCGGATATGCGACAACAGTTGGTAGAAAACGAGTGATACGAACGATATGATGCAGTCTTGTCACTTGCTCGCTTCAACAACTGGTGCAGAGCGGGTTTGGCACCGAACCAACTTATCCCGCCTGGCACGCCCCTTCGTCCACAGTGAACGCGACTGTATTTAAATTGCACTCGGATGACGCTGAGCCCAGTTTTGCCCAAGGAACCTTCTGAATGCCCCCTCTAAGGTCACTAGTGCCAATCTATCTACAATAGTAAAGTTTCAGCCGGTGGCATAATGATCGAAGCCTACTGCTACTTGTACATAATCGGATTATTGCTAGAACGGTATATACAGTTCTCGCGGTTCGGATTTCGTAATTATTTCGATTTCTGGTGGCGATGGTAAGTTTGTCATTTGGGTTTCCAGTGGGAGATAAACCATTTCACAAAACCTTGATTTCAGGTTTGACTTCTTACTCATAGGCGCATTCTGCCTTGCTTTTCACCTATGGATCAGCGGTGTTCTCATGCCCATGGAGCCCGATCTTGAAGAGCTGAGCCGAATTCATTGGGTAATTGCTGTTGAACGCGGCAGTTCGCGCCTTTAAGGATATCACAAGAATGCTAAGTTTTGACCCCAGGTGGAATTCAACTTGAAAGCTTGATTCAGGCGATGCGTAAGGTTATGCCCACTTGCAAAGATGTAAGGCTATGGCGCAGAAGCCAGAGCTGTGAGAGTGGAGCGGCTTTGGTGGCTTGAAACACTAGTCTCCGTGGATTCTGGTCCTTGTCGTGTGTGCCGAGAATGGGTTCGCGGCTAGAGCAGTGTGCTACATTCCCCGCTCGAAAGTGAACTGGGCTATAGAGTAGTGAAACCCGGTGCCGAGCCACGGTGCGCGCTCCACCTCGGTGTCACTTCTAGTTGTTCTTAACCGCTGAGTACGTGTTTTGTAGCGGTCCTCAGCAGCCACCATACGGATAGCGCGGGTGGAGTATGGAGACGGCGCTTGGGTACCACAACCCTACTGCCCCGTTCCCATACACCTCTAAGCCGGTGAAAATGCCTCATAATTACACTTACGGCCATTCGCCGCCCACATTGCAATGACTGTCCTCGGAGGTGAGCCTACAGTTTGTTTCCAACGAATAGCGTACTCGCTCGGAAAACATGAGGTGCGGGCCCGAGGATCAAGAACTTTGGCCATAACTCAGCATTCTTGCAATTACTGGATAAGCTTTCCCACAAAAATGGCTAACTTTTACAATGTTTCTGATTATTATCATTACAGCCGGCATGGGATTATTTCCTGATCTACGACATTTATCTGTGTACGGGATGTATACTTGGATTCTGGAGGGTGTTTTACTTTATGCAACTCATGAAAGGGATCGGTGGTAGTGTGGTATGTTGGTCATTGCTTTTACAGAAGGGTTGTCGAGAAGGGCGCTGATGTAGTGCGGGTCCGCGTTCCAATATGGAACAGATTTCTATCTAAGCGTTACTTGTTTAAAAACCAGGTGTTGTGTGAGTCCCTTTTACGGAACGCTTTCGCTAAAAATTGGTCCACCCACATCCTAGCACCTCCTAGCACGTAACCTTCTTGATGGCGCAGTTCGACGACGGGTGGGGTGGGACCATTTTGTACTATCATTGCTTCCCTCACTCTAAGTCTCACTCTGGCGAAACCTGTGAGCTCTTATGAAGCTGGAGCAAGGTCGTCAAGCCATCATGGTAAAACCTGTCAAGTCTGTCTAGGTCGACACGTCGATGGGAAGTAGCAAAAGTGCAAAATGCCCCCCCCCCCGTCGCCGAACTGCGTCCTTCTTGACTGCAGACCTCTGCTACACTTGCTAAGAAGAAGATTCTGTGCATCCCACCATGTTTCAGATATCGGTTGGGCGCTGTGTGTCTACCATATATAATTACCTGGTGGTTATGGGCGTCATTATGATTTCATTTGCTGTCGGCGTGAATCTACTCGTACAACCATATCTGAATAGTGTCGTCATCAAGGAGGATGGCACTGAGCAGGCTATGGGTTTCCACTTTCGCAGGCAAGTTGCTTTCCCCAGAGGCTGCCGCCTAGCAGGTGCTTATTGATCCTACTTCCAGCATTTTCTCTACAGTTCGCAGTATGTACTGGGCTGTGTACGGCTATCTGGATCCCTCACTTTATCCCATAGTCAATGGAAATTCTGGGCCAGATCAAGCACCGATTGAGCACTACATCACTTCTTTCGCCACTGAGGTTGGATTTCTCTAATACATTGTGAATAGAAATGTTAGCCCTCTTAGGCGCCTGACCCCGTGTGGTCAGTGGGAAGTACGTGCGACTTCAGGTCCTGTTTTGTGGAGTCAAAAGAGAGCAAAATTGTGCCAAAGTTTAACAGAACCGATTCTAAAACTGTAAAAGCTTCCCAAAAATACTAAAGAGCGATACTAAAGAGTGATTCGTTCATCGCGATGATCAAAGGGAGATATGCATTAATATCGGATTTTTGCTCGGCGTGCGGCTAAAAACCATACCTCTTGCCCAAAGGTCCTCACCTGCTTGCTGAGACCAGCATGACCTTCGCCTTGTAGGGAACATTCTACCATTGTGCCTTCCCCATAGGTGCACATCTGCCCTCAAGATCTCCTCTCCCTGTGACGACCACAGGCCCAGGGATGAGGATAGTACACTAATTTCCTTACTCCGCCTACTTGGCGAGCGCGGAGCG